GTGGGTCATTTCTTCAGTGAGCTGAACTCTGAATCTGATTTCAGTCAGCAGACTGTGCTGAACTTCTTTCTTGAACAGGCCTTGTCAGTCAATAGCATGTCTGCACTCAGTTTTCATTTGCACCACTGAAGTTTCTGATGAGTGTTTGTTTTGATATTATTAACTGATACATATTTGTATTTTTTAGCCAGCAGTCTTCAGCAGAGAGACTCTTAATGTTCCTGAGTGATCAGAAAATTTTGCTCAAGGAATCCTGAAACATAATTGTTATGTGTCAAATTTGTCATTAGTACTTCCTGTTTCTAAAACTGTGCAATGACTTTTGACCCAGCCCAATATACCAGACCACATGCATTCCCAAAGTAGGTAGCACATATAACAACATCCTCTTCCAGCTAGTAGCAAGTTTGCAACATGTGTAATTAGCCTGCAGTGATAGGAGTTGGCAAGAAATTGATGTTTAGAGTAGCAGTAAATATTGCTAATGAAACAAACTTTATGAAATCAGATCCAAAACCAGATGAATGATGCATGTGAATGTGTAAAATTTATACCATTACTGACTGTTTTCTTGAGAAGAAACTGACATCAGCAACGACTTTCACATTCTTATTTCATTTGGGCTTTCCTTCTCCAGTCTAACTCCTCTAAGAGTCCAAGGTTCATGTGGCAATTAATCGAAAACATTTTTTCTCAAAGAGAAATAATAATAAAGGGTTTCATCATCCAACTTCTGTTAAAAATCAATGGCAAAACTCTCTTTTGAATTTTAAGAAGAAAATGAATAGATTCAATGTCTGTAGCTACCAACTACTGTAAGGATTAATCTTAGAGGTTTGGAAGAATTTCCCCTAAAGCAGAAAAAGCCATCAAAAAGGCAATGTGTGAGGTAGCAAAAAAAAAAAAAAAAAAAAAAAAAAAAAAATTAAGAGAAACCTGCATTTTTCTATAATCTCTGTAATGAGGATGGATTTGAAAATACCAACTCAGCCTGTTGTGTGTAGGCTTGTTGCATACATTTATTACCAAAGAGTAGTAAATTACACCTTTTTCTTAGTTTCTCAGTCAGGCTTGGCTGTATATTGAAAGTTTCTTTTCAGGACTTGGAAAGTTGCTTAGCACAGGACTAATTTTTCCATTGTTTACTTCCATTAACACATGATCCTATGACAGATATTGATACAGAACTAAGAAAAAAAACAACAGAACCATAAAAAATTATTATTATAACCTTCCTTAGGTTAGGTTTTGATGTAAAAGATACTAGGGTTACTTGCACTACCCAGTGTCTAAACCTGGTAGAACCTGAGTGATATTCACTGTGGAAGGTTTTATGCTGAGGACCGATTCTGTATCCCTCACACAAGAACACCAGCTAGCACTCTCCAGATCAGTAATTTAAAAGCCTTGATCTGTGATCTTAATTATAATTTGGAGGTCAGAATTAGCAGGGCAGTGTGTACTGTCTTTGTTGAGGCTGGGTTCTGTTCAGGCCCTGCACACAGAGGAACAGCTTCTGTGGAAAGCGAACTTCTGAAAAGTGCTTTGGTCTGAGAGACTTCTCTTGATGCTGCTTGTCTTTTATGGTTTTTGTCTCAGGGCTCAGCCAGCCTAAGCCTGGATGAGATGTTGCAGACGTGGCATCAGGTGTTGAGAACGCTGTACATCCTGGGCTGACTCTGAAGCCTCTTTCCTGCCTAAGTCAGACAGTAAAGGTGACTTGTCCTGAGTACCGATAGCTTTTTTTCTCTCATCAGAAGTAAAGTCTGTGTTGCTGACAGTACACTAGTTTCTTGCTTTGATGCCCCAGGGAAGGTGTTATTTCCCATGTCCTCGGCTTCCCCTTATAGACAACCCTCAAACACTTTGTTCACTAGCTTGTGACATGAGGCTGGGTGACATTCACCTCTGCTGTCTCCAGGCTGGCCTACCGGGCAAGTAGGACAGCTATGAAAGAGGCTGCATGTCCAGAGGTCCAACTCCTGGCACAGGTCTCTTTAGCCTTTTGCATCAAAGCGCTCAATCATCACCCAAGTCAGGCAGGGCTCCTATGCAGGATCATAGGGTTGTACGTGAATGCTAGAAGAGCTTTGTATGGAGACCTTGTGGCATAATTATGAACGCAAAAAGGGTATTCCAGGGTTGCCATCAAATCCTCCAGCCAAAAACAGGTTGGCATCAGCTGTCCTTGATGGAACAGACTTTGTGAGTGCCCTCAAAGTACTGTAAATGTTTCCACTGTGACCTGGCAGGTGTCTGCAGAACTCCAGGATGCTGTGACTAGTTTGCTTCTGGGACCTGAACTGTACAGCAAGGATTCTTCTCTTTTTAATCCATGCAGCTTTGCTGACACATTTGTTTCTACAAATACTGACCGAACTAAACAAGCACCTTTAAATTGGCGAGGCCGTTCACAGACTGCTTATTTCGAATGATTGTTTGCTAGTTTACTACACAAGACCATCAGAATGATGGCGTGCTTGGTTCTGTTTCTGTGGGTTTTTACCTGCTTTTTGCATCATTCACACTTTCATAAAAAGGAGGCTAGAAGATTGAAGAGTTTTCAAGATGGCCACACAAACACTTCTGGCATAGAGTTTTCTGTGAAGACATATTTACACAATTGTCCAGAAGTCCTTTGCATACCTTGAACATTCTTTCATGAACTTGAAAAAAAATTAAACTGCATTTTCCCAGGCAATGAATAAAAGGAGCTGCAAGCAACATCAAAGCAAATGCATGTGTGCTTTATACTTAAAGCATTACAAATACCTCTGGGGTTTGTTTGTTTATTTGTTTATTGGGTTTTTTTGTGGGTTTTTTTTTTTTTTTTTTTAAATAGAATCCTCCTAGTTCTATTCCTGCTAAATTCACTTAAAACCAAATAAGGCATATTTTGGCACTATGCATTTTTCTAAGCATTTCACAGTTTTTGGGGACATTACTCTAACATCTGTTTTTATTTCCTTGTTAATTCCTTTTCCTGACTCTGAACATAAAATATTCAGGAAAGTATGATTTCAAGGATAGGATGTTGGTGTGCTTTGAAAAAGCTCTGCCTTATTGTACGTTAGGGTATACTCTTTATCTCAAAGCAAAACAATGAGGATGAAAATCAAAAGGCCGTATATATAATACAGAGGTAACACTTTACTGTGCAAATATCTTGTCACTGAGAAGAGAAACGCAGGAATGTCAGTCAGAAGACTTGCAATCTGCACACAAAAAAAGGTGCATACAAGAGAAGATCCTGGATAAAGCTGTTTTATCGGTTAGTTGTAGGTGGTGACAACAGTGCCTAACGAAATTATTTTGAAGTAAACAGTTGTGCTACATAAACCCCTGATTTTTCACAAAAAGTGCAACAGATTTCTCCTATAGTGGAGAGAGAACTTATACAGGGATTTGCTGAAAAAAGAAGCCACAACAAATAGGACCTCATACACACCAAACTTTTTTCTATTCTACTATTTATTTAATTCTGAAGCGTAAGTCGCAGTTAGATTTATTAGTTTAATTTTATTGGGATTATTGCCTTTGCATTTGGGCAGCATGTTTTTCAGTCTCTTTTCTCTTCTTCTATTCCTCATTAGTTTTCTGGGGTAATAAACATCGCTTGCTTCCCTGAAGTATTACATTAAAATAATGTAGCATTTTTGCAAGGAAATGATCCAGTCTCATGTGTAACAATCACTACTAGTGCCTCCTGCTTTCCAGGGAAGACACAGCCTTTTATGTAATTTGTTAATTCCTTAGCAACTTGGAGGGAAAAAAAAAAGTCAACCCTCTTCAAACTCTAATTGTACCCAAATGAGATTTACCCAGATGAGATGATAGATTCTGTGTGCCCTAAAGTATCACTGAGAGAAGGAATTAAGGATACTCTGCCAACTCAAAACCTGAACAAGCTTGCTTGGAGGAACTTGGGTTTTTTCCTACATTATTCTAAGCATCTCTAGAACATTGAGAATTTTCAGAAAAACACAGTTGTTCCAGCATTGTGCTTTTGCAGGGTGACATTCATTCCTTAGCTGCTTAGAAGATAATTTGTTTGCATGGAGACAGGTCATCCTATGCCCTAGAAAAGAGGCATGATTCAGTCAGAAAATGACGTGGTCTTTCATTTATATCATTATACTATGGGTGTTGAGCTGAACTCTGTGGTGCTAGCAGTTTAGTACTGGGAAAAAATGACAAAAAATGTGCCATCCACTTTAGAGTGACAAGGTTTCCTTTGGTTGATCATTTTTTTTCCCCTGAGGAAGCAGCCAGGGTTATTAGTTGTATATTGGTTGTAGTAAGCATGGAAAACTCAGGAGGTCTGTGTTTCATTGCAATACTACTTGTTCTTTAGGACCAGTGGACTAGCGCTTTCTTTCTCCCAAACTACTTTACCCAAATTGCAAACCTAGCAAAACCAAAGTGAACATAGCATTCTCCTTTGCTAAGTCTTAAAGAGGACTATATCTAACCTTGGAGGATATCAGTGACATAAAGAGGGATGAAAATGCTATATGACACCACAGGCTCATGCATCTACGAAGATACTTATTCTGTTCCTGTTCTTGACAAATTGCCACTGAGTTTTCCAAAGGAAGCTGAGAAGAGACAGCGACACCTTGTAGATTTTTCCCTCTTGCTTACTTCTGTATCATTTTCCTTACAGGCAAAAGGACAGGGAAGAACAGCACAGTCTTAATCAGTTAATTATATATAAATGCAGAATACTTTCTGAACCCTTTGTCTTTTATTAAATTTATTATTTATTTTGGCTTGTGCTGACATGCTAGAGACTAGAAACATTATTAGAAACATTCATAAAACATAGTGACAAACCTTTCTCTCTTTCATAGTCTTGTTTTGTGATATTTACTACTGGGACCAAATTGTGGAGTTTTATGGCTTTTGTAACCCACAAAGCCCCTCAGTGATTTGTTGTCAGCTGCATTTACCAGCTCCCTTCAGAAGATATCAAAAGACATTGCATATTTCTCTTCCAGTTATCCAGTTTGGCTTTGTCACACTCTTTGTTGCCTCCTTCCCTCTGGCACCTCTCTTTGCTCTTCTGAACAACATCATAGAAGTCCGGCTTGATGCAAAAAAGTTTGTTACTGAACTGAGGAGGCCAGACACAGTAAGAGCAAAAGATATAGGTAAGTAATGAAAAAAAAATTACAGTGAAGATAACAGCAAAAATTCAGTAAAGAAGAAGAAAAATTATAGTAAATCCATTAATAAGTTCTGTTTTTTGCTTACAGGAATTTGGTATAACATTTTGAATGGTATTGGAAAGCTTTCGGTTATCATTAATGTAAGTATTTGGCTATACCAGTTTCTAACCATGATCGTGGGAGCTTATATATTGTCCCTCCAACATAATTTCAAAGTGAAGTCTAATTTTCTCAATTGCTATAAAATACAACAACATCTAAATTATCCAGTTCATTCTTGTGGAAGTGTAAAACATGATTTAATTACAAACAAGATGACTATTCACTCGTCTCATTCTCTCTATCCTAGTGTTATGTAGGACAGGAAGACTAATTCATACAAGAATAACCAATGCAAGGGATGTAAGCAGGCAACATTCCAGATAATTGATAAAAATTTATACCCATGCCTTTTTCTGTTACTCTGCTAGTATAACTGTTGGTATGATAAAAAGGATGTAAATATAACAGAGCAGAAAGTCCTTAGCTAGATAGTATTAGCATTTGTTCTGATACATACAGGTATGGTTACATCCCTAAACATAATTTCTGTAAGAGTAGCTTTTTCTTTTTTTTTTTTTTTTTTCTTTTGAGTTGGGTTACACATTCCCCAAGCTACAAAATCTTAATGGAAAAATATATTCTTTCACAGAACAAGAATGATTACATGAACATAATGTGTGTCTGTAATACAGATACACTATGTTTATTGTTCTACATGTATGCCTAAGTAAAATTTTCCTGTATGTGCTTTAAGATCTAAACGACCCATGCCCTAGGAGTTTAATCATAATACTATATCTAGTGGGTTTTTGACTCACAGATCATAGAAACATTTAGGTTGGAAAAGACCTTTAAGATCATCGAGTTGAACCGTAAAATATAAAAGATATCAAAGCACCTTAGAAAGGCAGATGATTGTCACTACTGAAGGGGAAACTTGTGCAGAGGTGTTGTGCAATTTATCTAGTACAATAGCTTCCAGCACAACAGCACTCTGTAGCAGTATCTAAGCTATCATTACAACTGGGAGAACTATAATGCCTCCAGAGAAGCAGTGTTGTTTGACTTGGGTGGAGCATTGTTCACTTATGGCTCAGCAGTTTCCAGGATTTAAGGTAGGAAATCTGTGCAGCTCTACACATACCCATAATTTCGCTGTCAGGCATAGATTTCAGGTTTCCAGCACCAATCCAGCACTTGGCTGTATGAGCAAAAATCTGCAGCCTCTTGGTTTTATCTGAATACATTTTGCAGATTTATGATCCTTGGTTATTTTCTGTGTCAAACAAACTCTGAACATTTTTATTTCCTGGGGATCCCATTAAAATATCAGTTAGCTACTTTTTGTTGGCAGAAATATTAATATGTGCATACCCAATTTTAAAAAATACTGAATGCCCAGTTCTGCCATCTGAATAATACTGATGCAGAAGAACTATTTAGCAAAATGTAGTTTTAAATGAATCTAATGATTTCTTATTAATATGATCTGGATACTTCTGTGTCTGATGCACTTCACAGTTACACAAGTTTTATACCAGCATGAGATCCACCAATGTCATATGTATAAATCCTTACGCAGAGGTGAAAATGGAGGTTGACCACTTTGCACTCAACTGGTTTATCTCAGATAACACTGTGTAACTACACCAAATTATACTCCAAATTATGCCAGCTAGCTATTATGTCTTGTAGGTTTTTTTAAAAAACTAGTGATAAACCTCCTAATAGCTCCAGGGATGGAGAATGTACAGTACATTAATTGTTTTTGTTATTATATGATGTAAGAAATATTCCACTTGCCTGACTGCAACCTTCCCCTGGAGAGACAGAGCAGGTTACTGTGCATTTATATAAGTATACGTTCTGTACCAGGTCTGGCCATTTAACCCTCACTTCATCACCACTCTAAACTTACTTGAAGGTGAAAATTATCACCTGAATTAACTTAATCTAAACCATGTTAGACATAGATTCACAATGCTGCTGTTTGGTTGTGTTGTTTTGCTTTTTTTTGGTTTTTTTTTTTTTGTCTCTCAGGCTTTTGTAATTGCTGTCACATCTGATTTCATTCCACGCCTTATGTATCAATACGCATACAGTCAAAATGGAACCATGCATGGCTTCATCAATCACACGCTCTCATACTTCAATGTCAGTCATCTCAAAGCTGGAACACAGCCAGAAAACTCCCCATTTGCACGGGATGTTTTATTCTGCAGGTAAAGTACTTCTAATGACAGTTTGCATAGTCAAAGTAGTTCCTTCACATCTTTTGTCAGAAAAAATTTTTCCAAGTGGGAACTAGTAATATTTGTGCCTTTAAAAAGCTGGGTTTAAGAATACAGCTTTTAGAGTATTCTCACTATGTTAGAAGGTTCTTAGAAGGGTTCTTCCAGTGCATTAAAAGACAAAATAAATGCTTTAGGCAGACTTACTCAAATAAAAAAATAAATCCTTTCCTTATTGAAAGACATAACTTTCATTAAAAAAAAAAAGTTTTTAAAATGGACACCCACTAATTAGAACCAGGCTTTCTTTTTCTTTATTAAATTCAGTGTTTACTTGATGAGATCTGAGTTTTCAATATATCCTGCCCATCTTTAAAACCTGTACTGTTTCCCATCTATATGGCTTATATTTCAGATTCGTCTTTTGAGACTGGGGAAACAAGGCTCAACTTCCTTTAAAATATATTCAAAATGTCTAGTACACTGCTCCCATAGTGCAGATACCTATGGAGTAGTTCTAGTTTACATGAGAAACAATAACGTAGTTCCAGGGCTCTCAAAGTAACCTTGCTTTTTAATAAAAATAAGCAGAAATTAAAAGAGCTGTTTCAAGGCATTACAACCCAAGGCTGTTCAAAACTGAGGTCCTCGAGTCAGTGCTATATTCAACAGCCTGCCTCACCTTCCTTTTGGGTTCCCTTGAAATCACACTGTGCTTAGCCTCCGCAATGGCAAGAAATCATGACAAAACTTGTTCTTCCATTTTCTTTGGAAGGAGAGACTTCATTTATGTTTTTTATTACACACAGGTCTTCAATTGGCCTCCCTTGTTTTGATGCATAATATATTTGCCTATGTTAGCTGTCTTTTTGTGATGCGTGACAAAGTTTTTGAACCTAATACTCCAGGTAGTTGTCATCTGAACCCGTCCTGGTTCTAAAACTAGTTCCACCTCTGTCTTTCCCAGTCTCCTTTCTCAAACTGAGGTCTTCGCTCTCATGCTTTCATTGTGTGGTTTTACTCTGAGATCAAATTTTGGCTAAGGTGTCAAATGTGGGATTCTTGAAATCTATCACCATATTATCTCAGCATCAGTGTCAAAGCAAGGGCACAAAATCAGTTACCAAGCAGAGCATAATGATGAGACAAATCTTACAGGTGACATTCAGATACCATTTAGCATCAGATTGGCCTTTACTTGCATTACTGGTGTATTGAATACTCAGATACTGCCTGAAAGTAGTGCTAGTATTGTAGATACTGTAAATATCAAGTAGTGTTTTCTGGTTAGAGCTTCAGAATTATTTCTTCTTTCCTCCCATTCATTTGAATTAATTGTCCTTGATAAATCTGTATTCAAAACACAGATAGATTTCTTCATTATTAGTTCCAATTATCCCTACAGTTCTGCATATCTGACATTCAGAGTTTCTTAAAGAAATCGTATTTACAGAGTAGATAGAGGCAGCTGCAAATTTTTATAGGGTTACCATTGAGTTATGACTATTAGTTTCTTCGATAAATCTGCAAGAGCAGGTCTCAGTGTGACGTAGAAGGCTTGTAACTAAAGCTAGTTAGGATGCACATTTTTGTCCTACCAAAATCTTTGTCTTCATGTTAAAGTTGGGGAGAGAAAATATTTCAATAAATTAAACATTTTTATTTAAAAAAAAAATTAAACCCCACAAAATTCAATTAATTTTAAATATTAAAGTGAGAGCGTTTAACTCAGCACAGCCACGTCCCGGTGTCAGGAACTTTGTTAAATCTCTGCTGCCTCTTGGGAGGTGATCAGGGCAGACAGAAAGGAATAGCTCTCCAGTGCTTAAAGCTGCATGCTGTGCTCTACCTGCTGCTTTGCTTGTGGCAGACAGGATAAAGCACCTTAAACCTGGGACCTGTCCTCTTTCTTTTCTCAGAATGTTCTTCTGTGTGAGCTCTGCTATTCCCTATTTCTTAGAATTGTAGAATAGAATCATAGAATCATTTAGGTTGGAAAATGCCTTTAAGATCACTGAGTCCAACCATAAATCTAACACTGCCAAGTCCACCGCTAAACCATGTCCCTAAGCACCACACCTACACATCTTTTAAATACCTCCAGGCATGGTGACTCCACCACTTCCCTGGGCAGCCTGTTCCAATGATAGACAATCCTTTTGGTGAAGAAATGTTTCCTAATATCCAATCTAAACTTCCCCTGACACAACTTGAGGCCATTTCCTCTTGTCCTATCACTTGTTACTTCGGAGAAGAAACCAACACCCACCTGGCTACAACCTCCTTTCAGGTAGGTGTAGAGAGTGATGAGGTCTCCCCTCAGCCTCCTGTTCTCCAGGCTAAACAACCCCAGTTTCCTCAGCCGCTCCTCATAAGACTTGTGCTCTAGACCCTTCACCAGCTTCCTTGCCCTTCTCTGGACATGCTCCAGCACCTCAATGTCTGTCTTGTACTGAGGGGCCCAAAACTGAACACAGTACTCGAGGTGCAGCCTCACCAGAGCCCAGTACAGGGCGACAATCACTTCCCTTGTGCTGCTGGCCACACTATGATACAAGCCAGGATGCTGTTGGCCTTCTTGGCCACCTGGGCACACTGCTGGCTCCTATTCAGCCAACTGTTGACCAACACCCCTAGGTCCTTTTCCCCCAGGCAGCTTCCCAGCCACTCTTCCCCAAGCCTGTAGCGTTGCCTGGGGTTGTTGTGACCCAAGTGTAGGACCCAGCACTGAGCCTTGTTGAACCTCATACAGTTGGCCTTGGCCCATGGATCCAGCCTGTCCAGATGCCTCTGTAGAGCCTTCCTACCCTCCAGCAGACCAACACTTCCACCCAACTTGGTGTTGTCTGCAAAACAGCGTCAGTATATTTTAGTATATTGCTAGGAGTTAATTCTTAGTACAATACTACATGTGAGAGTATTGAGCATCTCTGTACTTTCTGATAGACTCTTAAGCCTGTGAAATGCTTTTCTGCTCTCAGTTCCTAGTACTTGTTAATTTGCATCCCCAAATTAGCCTATGTTTTCCTTCAACATGTATCTTGATCCATATGGATCTCCCACTTTGCTGTGACTTTGCTACTTTCAATTTGCTACTGTTTACCTGGTCTCAGTCCCTGCCCTCTCTTTATGGTGTATGTATGTCTGCCAGTGTATTTGGAAATGTGTGCATTAACAACGGTGAAGTGCACTTCTCAGATGAGCGTGGATTCAACAGAGCCAAAATACAGAGAGAAAGGAACAATACACACTAGGTATAAAAGTGGTCCCCACCTGCTAACATCAAGTCTATGACACTGAATTAAAAAAAAGTAAAAAGTGATTGCAAACAAGAAGCATATACTAAAAAACTGACCATGTACTGGTCTGAATGAGAAACAACTATGAGATCGTTTCTGTTCCATTATCAAGAAATAATTAGGAAAAGATGTCAGCATCCACTTTCACTGTTTCTCGTTATCATTCGGCTCATTTGAATCTTATCAAAATCATAGCTTCAGACAGAACTATCACTGTGATAAAATATGGGGTATCTAGCTTGTGTCCCAAGAGACAAGCAACAAACAATGTCCCTTAAGCTACAACTAAAATCTGCTTTTCTGTTTCTGGCAAATATGTTGGGAACAAGCTGACCTCTCTTATTCTTAGATTTCTGTGACCTCTGGAGATAAATGTGGTTACAATAAGCCTGCCTTTTGCTGCTTACGGGCATTGCCAGAGATTAAGGTATCTTAAAAATAACCATAACAAGCCAGAAACAACTCTCCCACCAAACATCCAGATACATTCTTTGAATATTTTGAGCAGCATTTTCTACAATGTTGTGAACTCTTTGACACTGCTTCCAAATAAACATTGCTATAACACCATTCTGATGCATTATTTTTAATGATTTTTTTCAGAGCACAATGACATTTGTGTAGCTGAAGGCAAATTAAAAGCAAACCTTACTAAGTTATGTGACATTTTTATTGGTTTAGCCCTTTTAATCTTTATAATCTGGTATGATAATAGAGGACATGAAAGCGTGCAGATCTCAGTGAAAAGAAGAAAGCAGCAGATAGGGAGTCATTAAAGGGACTTTTCCCTTAACGCGAGTCTGCTCCAGTATTCAGAAATTTATAAAGTGTCTTTGAATTAATTAATTTTCTTAATGCCCTGGGATTCATCTCATCTACTCCCAATGATCAGTGGTGGATTTTAATGCTTTTTCCTGAAGAATTCTTTTATACTCCTGCATTGCTGAAGCACTATTCTGTCATGTTTTCTTCAATTTCTTGTCAAAGACCAGCTGAAAAAGGAGATTAAACAGATCAGCTTATTTAAACTGATTCACAATTCCACCTACAAAGACATTTTGATTTTTTCTACCAGACTTTCTTTTTCCCCATGCAATACACTTTTTAAATATACTCGCGCATTTCTCTTAGCTCTGCCTGCAGTTCAGTTGTGTCTAAGCCTTGCCTGGCCTTCTCCATCCTGACTTCCACAACATATCTCTACTCTCAGTGTGCATTTTTCTTTTTTCCCCTCAGAACTTTTCTGTGCTCTATTCTTAAACCACATTGACTACTTCATATTATTGTCCTTTTTCAGTGGAATTGGAGTTGTTTGCTATTTTTTAAATGCAATAGTCTTTGGACCGCCAGTTATTTACTCTTTCCAGCATACCTGCTGAAACAAATTTTTTAAGAATCAGGAACTGAAGAGGTGAGGGAAAAGATAGACTTTTTGAAAAAAGAAATTACCTGTAGAATATAGTGGTTAGAAAAGGCCTGGGTTATTGCACTTTGAAGTCCCACGTGCCATAGAACAATTAGAAAGGGAGGTGGGGAGGAGGCCCATCTACCTTGTCTGTAGCTCTGACAACATCTCCCTTCACCATAAATCATTTGCTAGTGTTCTGCTGAATGTAGGTTCAGGCATCATAAGCAGTGTGATTTCCAGCTGAGCCAGGAGAAATTTCCGTGGGGTCTGATGTCCTGCAACACTTACATAGTTTGTGAAGCTCAGAGTACATTAAATGGAAAACCCACCGCAGTTGGTGACCCTTGCAGGTGAACCTGGGCTTCGTTTCAAGACTGGGGTTGATTTATAGTGCTAGGCAAAACCCAGAACAAACTCAGTGGTTTTCCTTGGCTTTGATGTTCAAGCAGATTAAATTCAAGGGAACTGATTCTGGCTCTCGCTGCAGCCCTTGCACACAGATTTGAGAAACACGCAGGAGCCCACGTTGTGCAGAAAGGTACTAGAGGGGGAATCTGACAGCGCTGGCACAGCATAGGGCCAACCAGGAATCCTGTGTAAGACAGGACGAAGAGCTCGGCTGCTGTGTACGCACCACTGAACAAAACAAATAATCCATGGTCTAACACAGCCCGGGCAGTGCTTCTGTAAATTAATACAGTCCCTGATTTAAAGTTTGTTTTCTCCTCCTCTCTCTCCTGCATCTCCGGATCATGGGTTGTACCTTGTGTCCTTTGTCTCCAGGAGGTGCAACACAGAATTACATCCAGCATTTCAGACTGAATTTCTTGGGGGGGGGGAAGGGAGGCAGGAGCAGGAGGGCGGGATGTAGGGGGTGTATGGATTGTAAATGTATAATTTCACATGAAAAACCATGTGGATAGAATCTGAAGGTAAGTTTGGTAAGCGCACCTGCAAACCGAAGCTGACAGATTTTATATATGAACTTTCTCTATTATACCCTGATGGAGGCTTTTCCACAGTCTAATGAATCTTACTGTCAGGAAGGGTTCTGTGGTATTCAAAACAGATTTTCCCTTTCTTAATTTCATCCCATTACTCCTAGTCAAACACTGTGAACAGCACTAAATTATCCCTTTCAGTCCTAAGGGCACAATTTGTGCATGGTTATCATGTCCAACTGTGGCTGTTATTTACCAAAGTGGAGCAATACATGTGCTCTTCTTTAATCTTTTCTGGTGAGTCAGTCTCCTCAGACCCTGGATTGTTTTGCTGAACTGCCTTCAATTTATTGCTATATTTTTTTTTTTTTTCCTTTTTTTCCCCCCCCCTCTGAAATCCCCACAGCTGAATGGCTGAATGCAGAATTCCAGGTGTGGCTTTACCTGAGCTGTTCAGAGAAAGGCTAATACCCCCCAGCACCATCATGCCTTCGTTTTGTTTATACATCCACAAGTCATACTGTCCTGCTGCCATATATCAAACTTGTGCTCACTTGCTGGCCACTGTAAGCTCCAGGCTATTTTCATTGCATTTTCTATCAAACTCTATCCTTTCAAAGATCTTTCAATTGTTTTATTTTTAATTATTTTCCATTTCCCCAGATTATTCTCATTGTGTTTCCTGTCTGTATTTCTTATTGCTTTCTGTGTTTCCTGCTATTTGCAAAACTTTCCAATTTAGGAGCATCTGTGACTTTTATTAGCCCGTTGTTTACTTCCAGATGATTGATGATAATAGTAAAAGCATCAGTCTTTACACCAAACCACTAAGGTTCTGTTTTATCCTGTCTAAAGCTAGACAGTTAATTTAGGAAGTGCCTTTCCCATGGCTCCCCCTGTTGTTAATGCAAAGACAGGAACCACCAAAGTGTGAGTCAGATTTTACGTGGGCTGAATTATTCCCTAAATTAATCAAGTTTTAGGTGAGATGAAAGCAGGATTGTCTCCTTCAGTCTGAAAATGCCTTGGACTATCTCTATGCTTTAATTTCAACACTTTATTCCCTGTACACTGAGATCAATTTAACATTAACAAAAAAAAAAAAAAAAAAAAAAAAAAGAGGAGACATTTGTAAATCCTGGAAAATCTGGAAATTTCCAACATTAGAACAACATTATGATTTTGGTTACAACTGTGGAAACCAGAAACCAGACTAAGCTTGCTAAATTCAGTGGAGATAGTCCAGCACTAATTCTGGACTTCTATTTCATAATAAGGGTTGAAGTAGGCACATCTGGAGGATTTGATTCTTTAGGTTTTGTGATTGGGAAATCACGTTAAAGCAATTGGTGCAGGAGGAGATTGCTGGAACTGTGTGATAACTCAGCTGTCTCCATCAACAGGTTCAAAGACTACAGAGAACCACCTTGGTCCCCAAATCAGTATGAGTATACTAAACAGTACTGGGCGGTCTTATCTGCTCGCTTGGCTTTTGTTATTCTATTTCAGGTAAGTCTGTTGAGTTGCTGCAATTTCAGCCACAGAAATATCATAATAAATGGTTTGAAATGCATGTGCCAACGAAGCCCATGTCCAATAGAGCTTTTTCTGTTTGCAAATACCCAGCCTGATGTGCTTGCACCCAGCTTGCCGAGGTGTCAGTGGGCTGCAGTGCAGGCTCTCCCTTCGGAGCACTGTGGCACACCTCCTCAGCGGAGATTTCCTCTGCCTTCATGGAAGCGAAGCCCCACAGCCTGCATTAGCCCCTGGCACTAGCAGTGATCCCCAAAACACCCCAGCCTCTTGAGTGTTTCAGTTAAGTGGACTTTATCAGCTTTCATACTCTCAGGGGCACGATTTGTAAAAAGGAACTAAATGCTATGTAGGCTTGTGAATTGCTGTTCTTTACCCAAAGCAAGCAATAAACAGAAGTAATAAATCCTCCAAGGTCTTCTGCTACTTTCTACAAGTAAATGGAGTAAATTCTCCCCAGTGTGGAAATTTCATTGGCAAAAGATTTGCTATCATGGCTTGCCTTCTGAATGGCAGAAACCTTCTGCTCTCCTCCATGGTCTGGGATCCCTCCATAGTTAAATTGGGCCCAACCCTTGTATTGAAATCTGCCTGTCTTTTCTCCTCACCTGCCAAATATTCCTAAGTGTGACTGTGAGTCTTGCGTGGTTTATATTGCCCTCTTCTGCTTCTTTGCTCTGTCTTCAGTAATCTTCCACCACTGGCTGCAAAATGTTTGAAACCAGCTGGTTGTGCTGGACTTCAAATAGCCTGCCTGTTGTTCTGCCAGAGTACATTCCCTGGTTAATTAGCTCCATTGTCTCAGATGGGGACAGAGGGTTCATGCTAGTAGCCTTGTCAGCAAACATTCTCACACATTTTCAGGCATTACACAACACGGCAGTTTTCAAAGCATTATCATGATAATATAAACCCCAAAGTACAATTTATTTATAAATTTCACAAACAAGCAAAACTTTACCCAGTCTGCTTCCTGCTCTGTGTTAAGAGCATTACCTGTAATGACCTTGACACTTCAGATTCAAGGTTGTGGCTTGCACGCTGCAGTAGCGTAAAAAAATCCTACTTGTCAGCAGTCAGAAGGATTTGAGGACGGAATGACCACGGAAGTTGTCTGCTGTCTGCTCAGGCCACATGGTATGACTGTGTTGGAGGATGCTTTCACTGACGTTGCCCTTATAGTAATGAATTCTGAACTCAGTCTCAATGAATTTGATATTGAGAGCTGAGCACCTTTGAACACCTGTAAAGAATAAGGCTATTTTATCTGCGTAGGCCATGAATTGTTTGATGAATCCAAGTCCTTTCCTGTTTCAGACCTGAAGTGTGCATTTAATTCAACCACTCCACTGAGGGGGAGTTGTACACAAATGTAAGCTGTTTCTTGAACTAAGGCCTTACTCGACTGCTTAATGCTACATACCATCAGTAAAATGTGTTTGATGCCTGCCTCATAGCTATAGCAAAGGTTTGGGTTTGCTCTAGTGTGAGTACTGTGGATTTTTTATACTTGCTTCATGTCTGTTGCTGTGTTTACAGAACTTGGTGATGTTCCTCAGTGTTCTAGTTGACTGGATGATTCCCGATATCCCCAAGGACATCAGTGAACAGATCAAAAAGGAGAAGAGCGTGCTTGTTGACTTCTTCCTGAAGGAAGAGCATGAAAAACTGAAGCTGATTGAAAGCTTTATCGCACGTGACAAGCAGAAACACAAAAGTGGGACCAAAGGCGAAAGGATCCGGGCTGCCAGCTTCTGTCAGTTTAACCGAAGTCAGAAAGGCAGCTTTGCCTCCTTTAGCTCACAGCACACAGAAGTGTGACTCCTTAGGGAAGGGTAACATACTATGCTTACCTCTGCAATACCTGCTTACTGTGTGACGTGATTCTGAACGTGGAGCAAGGGAGGGAGAGACAGTCAAGGAAGAGACAGGGAGCAAAAAAGAGGCTTCTTTTGCTTCCTTTGAAGCTCCATGTGCAAGCGTCTCCATTACATTTTATACGCTATCTGGGCTGCAGCATTTTCAGACTTTATCAGTGTGAGATACGGGCTATATTGTGGCTGTAGCTGATCCTCGTGGTGATGCATGTGAGTTGGGCAGGCACGCAGGATTCTCGCTTGTGCAGTCTCAGCAGTAGGACCACAGCCGTCCCTCTTCCTGCAGATGCCCTGTGGGGCACAGGGAATAGAAGAGACACTCCTGCCCTAGTATCTATCTTTTGGCAGATCTGACCCACCACAGTGAAGTGCACACAACGTGTGGTCTCACAGTTTGTAGCTGCCAGCGGATGGTTTATAAACATGTGGAGTCTCAATGAGTCCTTGTGCCTTCCTAACGTACACTGCCACTTGGTGCTGTCTCTGTAGAACGTGCTGGGCTGTTGTTAAGGGCACAGAGCTGTGGGAACAGAAGGAATGAAAATCACTGGCCACTTTTCATCTACAGATATATTGTGTTTTGCTTAGCAGGAGCCTGAATGTATGTGCTAATGAGCAGAGAGGCCACAACATATGCATCAGAATGAAGTAAAACTGCTAGAACTAGGGAAGCTCATTGTTATTCATTGTCCTGAACCAAGAAAAACCCCCAAAAACCCTGCATGTTTGATTGTCTTTTCACTTAGACTGGGAATTCAGCCAGTATCAAGAGGAATCGCACCACTGAACCAACACCAGTGAGAAGCTGACGAGTGATAATGGAATCAAGCCCTGTAAATCATGTGGCATCTTCATGTACATTGCGCATAAAGTAACAAAAGTTGCTGCTGTTGTGCATTTATTGTAAAGCAAAATATCTTGCAGAACTGCATTTTATTGGAAGATAAACATGTTCACTAACCAAGCTTTCATCTACAAGCATTTAATAAATAACTGTATTCTGTTATGAATGAAAATAAAACTTTCTTAAAAAATCTGTTTCTTTTACTGTAGATTCTGTCTCTAACCCAACTCAAAATTTGGAGTCTGTGTAAGAGATTTTCTTCTCATTTTGTGTTCTCAACAATGCTTTCAAAACCATCAAAAATACAAATCAAAAGAAATGCTTCCGTTTCAGGCATCATATACAATATGACAGCTCTTTAACATTATAATGATATTTTATATAATTCTGAAGCCTAGGAATTTCATTGTTCCCTTAGATGCAAAAATCTTTTTCTATAAGAATTTTTGGTAATTTAATGAGAGATGTGAAAATAATGGTGGTGTTTTGTGTTTTATTTGTTTGGTGTGGTTTGTTTTTTTTGTTTTTTTTTTTTTTAATTCAGTGCCTAAACTAAAGAAAATGAAAATAGGACAACTGTTTCAGGATGGGCTGAAATGAAAAGTTTCATTCTGGAGTTTCATTTTTAAAGTTTCATTTAGGGCTATTTATGCCTTCTACATTGTAGATCAATTTTGAAATGATAATGTCAACTTGAATAAAATTGCAAGTGCTTAACTTTGTTGAACCACAAGTCTGACCTCTCCAAATGTTTTCTTCTTTTTCCCCTGTCAAAACGCATTTGCTGAATTTTAAATTAATTCAGAGAGAATTCTGCCCCCTTCTGAAACTGCTGGGGTTTTTTTAATGAATAACAATTTTCTAGGGATATTGTCCAGATCTCTATATATGCTCAAGACTACAAATACAGTTTGTAAATGTGCGAAAATGTGTAGTATTACAAGGTTTCTCCTTTTTTAATCTATACTTTATTGAAAGCAAGCTATTTGAAGAGCTCCTGACACAATGTACCAGGTATAAACTATATATTTGGTGTTTCTAATTGATTGAGATAGGTAGGATAATTATAGGAAAATAGTCATCTTCTTAAATACAATTTAAGCTTTTTATTAGTATAAATACCTCATAGTCACCTGTGGTCATGTGAACAACATCCTTGTCAGGCCCAAAAGTCATGTTACTGCATTTGGGGAGGCTGAGAGCATGGGATTTGTATGCTCAAAACATAGCTATTAAAATTTAGGCAGGTTGCTTCTGCGGTCACCAAAGAGATAAAGGCACCAGCGGCCAGCTACTCATCCCATCTCCACACTGCTGTCTGAGATGGGCAGATGAACCACCTTGGAGGATGCCCATCTCCTTCCCTGCACTGCAGCAGCAGCCCCGATGTCTGTCTTAGGTTCAATGCTTGGGCTTTAGGTTGCAGAAGTCCAGCACCTAACCTCCCAAGTCAGAGTGCTTAAGATGTTCAGATCAGTGAAAGACAGCGACTGCTAGATTCCCAGTTGATTATGCTTGTTTTGTTTTAATTTTGCTAGGTGCTTGAATGAATATCTTTTGTAAGAATTTGGCTCCCTGCTGGAAATCTGTGACAGGGCTAAGACATAAACCTTGCTTTCCCTCCTCTAAGACTGACATTTAAATGAGGGCACTGTATCTCCTCAAAACCAACTTGTCTCATTTTTCTCTCAAAAGACCAACAAGCCCTGTCAGGGATTACAAGGTCTAATATATCAAGGCAGTCAATATTAATGACATCTATTCCTTCATTTATTCTGGTATTCTGGTGGTGGATTTGGGGGGCTGGAACTGTCTATGTTCGTTGTTTACAACTCTAGTTGATTGAAATGCAATCATTTTTCTTCACTCCAAAACACCTCTAATGGGGAGAAATGTTCTCATATCAGTCTTGCCAGACCTTTAGATTACCATAATTATCAAATATTCTTTTTCCAGGTATGTGGGACTGCATGCAGAAATGGATTTAGAAAGAGGCTTACAGGTTGCATGGCACCCTCTCTTCCAGCGGCTTGTTGGATGAAGGTTATTCGGAGTTAAGGCTCTTCTTAAAATAGAACAATTTTTTTACACCTTCCCTCTGCCCAGGAAATACCGTCTTGTCTTTTTAAAAACTGTGAGTCACTCAAAAATGGTCAGAAAAATGCTATCCCAAAGTTGAATGCATTAGGCTGTTGTTACACAGAATTTCCATAACAAGCAACTGAAATGCTTGCTGTGGTCCAAAAATGATAATGTGTTTCTAGATTTCCTAGCAAAAGGAACTAGAGAAGCCAACAGATGTACACTGATGCTCTGAAAGTTCTCCTGAGGTTTATATATTTCACCCAAACAAGGCTGGGAAAGTGGCATAGCAGCAATCACGGCTGACGTCCAGATGGGATCTACCATGATATCGCAAACGGGACAGACAGCTCAATTATCTTTATCTGCGATATGGTTTCTATTTTTCTCTTAAACTTGAGAGTTTCATTCACTGGGAATTCCTGCATGTTTGGTACTTGACTCAGGTGCAGTCCCTGAGGATTGCACCCATTGTTACATTTCTATGGCAACCTCTGGATTCTCCTGCCACTGCTTCCCATCAGCTCCTGTAATTGTAGATCACTGATTGGGCATTCATTCATTCCCAGTTTCTAACTTATCTCTTTCGGACAAAGCAAGACTTTATCTGATCCCTTTTTATCAGCATGATACTTGTAAGTCTACCCACAAAGTGCCCCCTCACCATAACTTGTGCCTCAGAAGCAGAGAATGACTGTTTCAAGAGACCTCCATGGAAAGCTCTCTCGAGGGAAGAAGAGAACAGGGATGCCGGCAGAAACACAAAGCGGTAATAAAACCTGTGAGTTATTGTCATTCCTTTCTTTAGCAATGAAAATGAGCTAAAATCTCTGCAAAAGAAAGGATAAAAGTAAGCAGAGAAAAATAATTGCATAGATGTTCCTGCACATTTAGGTCAGAATTTCATAGCCCTTTGGATTGCTACAACTCTGAAGTAAGTAAACAGCCTAGTTAAAACAAACAAACAAAACCCCACATCCCTTTGTATGTGATTAGCTAACACCACACTGAGTACTACATGTAATCACAAAACACCAAAGCCACACTCTCGGCTTCATGTAGAGTCACATTAATAGGAATGTACATAATCGCACATCAAATCAGAACAGGGAGCATAGGAAGTAACAGAATGAAGGAACGTGGCTTGTGTAAAGCTTTAACACAGATATAATTGGATGTAACCTTGTAATTATCAGGGAACACAAGGTGTGTCCACCTCTGTGGCTAGAAGCAGCTCATGGTGGCTGAAAGAGTTTGCTGCTCCATGTACCACAACTTCTCCTTTGGACTATTGGTGCAGGGTAGTGTCAAACAGCTTGAAAAAGTTATTCAGGAGAAAGAATTGACCCAGAGTGAAGGGGCTCCCTCTCTTGAGTCATGCTATGAACTTAAACGCTATTCAGTTACAGAATCCATCTGATCCACGCAGCCAGATGAACCCTCTCACAGTGGTTATCTCTAGTTTTAAAGAGGGCTTTCAGGAACTGAGTGGAGCAACAGGAATGTTAGCCCTTGCTGTCATGTCTTCTTCATGCAGACTTGCCTGGTTTTTTACTCATCAGCACTAGATGACTTTTTGTGATGGGTATAATTGGCTTGTCAGTCCTCAGCATTCTCAGTATGTAGAAAATATTGCTATCTACACCTCTTCTGCAATTTGGCCTTTTTGACCTTTCATGACACTAAAAACTAATGAAATGTAGTCCAGGAAGAAAAGAGTAGCCTATGTGGAAGTATGTCTGTTAAATTACGGCTTGGAAATACCCAACTCAACATGCACAATATTTACCACTGTTAGCAATAAACTCTTCTGACTACAATAATATAACATCTGTTGCTGTTATGCAGTCTCACCCTTTAATGAGGCACAGATGGTCTTCCTATTCCCCGTCTGGTCTAATTCTTTTGCTTTTGAGAAGAAAATATAAAACAGTTTTGTTTGTGACCTATTCTTGTAGGTGAATTCCTCCACACCATGTACTGGTTAAGACATCTCGTGTGCCCAGTAACACAAGATT